GAGAATATGTTGGTACAGTTTGCTAAAAGTGGCAGCACATTTGAGGCTGGATCAGACAAACCCTCCTGCCTCAGCAGGTACCACTTGTCAGAAAACAAGAAATTAGACACAAATTACCCAGTATTTAATTCCTGATAGGAGAAACAGTAACCAAGCAAATCAAACATTTCTAATTCAGCATTTTTCCACAGGAAAATATCATTTCACTGTCACTGAAATCTCCTGCTGTGGGAAAAAATGCATTTTAACAGTTTGTAAAAGATTACAGCATGCCCATTTTTTTATTTAGGTGTTGCATTACACAATCTATCACATTTGAAGAAGTCAGAATGAAACCAGAATGCTTTGACTGATTCTAGTTAGATTTTATCTAGAATTTAATAGCAACTCTGGGTTTGTTTTTTTTTTTTTCATGCTTGTTATTTGTTTTAGCAAGAAATAGAATTTGGAGCATCAGAAAGTTCAACTGACTGGAAATTATGGCTTCAATTTCCATTGCATATTCATCTCTGTGCAAATGGGAGCTGATAATCTGCGTGTTCTCCTGCAGAGCTGTGATTTTCTTATGGGGTGGGGTGGTCAGAGCAGCTGCTCCAGCCCACTCACTCCATGGCAATTTGGATTTTCTGGATTGAGCTGGTCCCTGCTCCCTCCTCAGCTACCACAGAGACCCCTGAGCAGCACTCACAGATGGTGTCAGCAAATAAAATCTCAAATATAGTGCAGCAAATAAAATCTCAAGTATAGTGATCTGCTCCTCAGGATGACTGAGTAAGAAAGGTGAAAATAGAAATATTAAATTACACGAATCATTTGCAGGAAAAAAAACAAACCACCAGTTTTAACATTATAAAAGGGAAAAGAAAACAAACAAAACCCAGTGAAAGTTAACTCCTTATATTCTTATAAGAATAAAAAACATCTGTTCTCACTCCCTTCCTCTCCCACTCAACTCACACCCCCACAACATGAGGGTTCACACCAGACATGCTGAAGCAAAGATATTTAAAATATTTAAAAGGCTGCCAGGCACCTGTGCAGTTTTGACTTCTTTCAGGAGGTTTTGACATTTCTCAGGGTGAGATAAACATCCGATTTCCAGGTGTGCTCAGAACCCCTGGGAATTCCCCTTTGCTACCTCTGAATGAGAGATTATCTATATATGAAATATATATTTGTGGGGTGTTTACTCAAATAAACTGAAATTACATAGCTTTATTGTCAGCTGTACCTAAATTCTATGATTTTATGCTTCCAGCTTTAAAATACTGCAGTGAATTCAGGGTCCAACACGACTTTTTGCTTCCTTCTTTTTAGCTTGATTAAAGAGGACCAGTTAACTCCCATGGAATGTTTCTGACACTGACTTGGTGGCACTCTGGAAATGTTGTTCTAAATCTTTGTCTTTTTTATTTTATTTTTTTTTCTTTGAGGCAATCTTTTTCACACCAGGGAGAGCTGTTTAGTACAAATTTGACAGAAACAAAAAAAAAAAAAATTCTAGAGGAGGAAGAGAATCTACTGCCAGCACATCTCCTGCTTTTCCATCTCAGCGTGTTCCTGGTGGCACAGCAGTGAAACAGAGCCAGCAAAGCTGGGGAATTTGCCAAAGCCCACACAGTGTCTGCAGGAGAAGCGAGGGATCAAGCAGGGGGTCTTGACTCCGAGCCTTTGGCTTGTTTTTAATAGCCCACACTGCTTTCTTCTTCTCCTGAACACCCAAAAATAGCAAAGGGACAAATCCTTCACCAAATGTCTTGGAGTGCAAAAGGTCACTGGGGCAGAGAGCACAGCCCTGCCTCGCTGCTGGATCCTGGATGGAATCCTGGAAATCCACTTGGGTTTCCTGGAGCTACAAACGAGGTCCATGTTCATCAGTTCCCTCAATATTGGGGTCACTGGAGAGGGACTTTTCTGCAGAGGGATTTGTCACAGCCTGGAGGGCCAGGAGCCAGGGAATGGCTGCCAGGGGCAGAGGGCAGGGCTGGACCTTGGGATGTTGGGCAGGAATTGTTCCCTGGCAGGGTGGGCAGGGGCTGGGATGGAATTGCCAGAGCAGCTGGGGCTGCCCCTGGATCCCTGGCAGTGCCCAAGGCCAGGCTGGACACGGTTTGGAGCAGCCTGATCTAAGAGAACACTCCCCACCCATGGCAGGGACTGGAACTGGAAGATCTTTGATGTCCCAGCCCAAACCAATCTGGGATTCTCTGATCACACTGATGAAATAGAATTGTCCCATCTTCTCCAGAAAAGGTGCAAAACTCAGCTCCAAAGCCTCAGCTTTGTCAGAGTCAGAGCCTCAGCTGCTTCCCGATTCCCACCGCTCCTTCACGAGCGCACGGAGCCTGCGGGAATTAATCTCAAGGGGTCAGGAACTTCCTCCACATTTGGTTTTGGCCTTAAAAGGTTCTCATGATCCAAATGAACCTTCTGACAAAGTAGATCAAAACCTCTACAGGGACACCTCAGCAAAGGCTGTTGTGAATACAGCAAAAGGAATTCAACAGGAGAATCACAGGCACGAGGAATCTCCTAAATGGAGACCCCAGAGCAAATTTTATCCTCCTGCACATGAGTGAAACCCCACTCAGCCCAGAAATGGGGACACCCCTGTGCCCCACACACAATTTGCTGCTGAGTCTTACCCAGGCTGAACTGTGAGGCAGAATTCCCATGAAATGATTGCCACTCTCGTGGGATATCCTGGGTAATTTAGAGCAGCAGGAATTCTGCCTGGTCCTGCCAAGTGCCAGCAGCAAATTGTTGAACCTCAGCTTTGCTGGGACTGTCAGAGAAGTGCAGCCAGCCATGGACCATAATTCTTGGCTCCTCCTTTCACTGAGAGCCCTTTTTTTAATCCCAGAAAATGGAATTTGAAAAGAAAAGGTGCTGTTGTAAAAAAGGCCTGTTTTGAGTTAAACAGAAGCTGAACGAGGCTGTCGCTGTGTGGAAACAGCAGGGCTGGAAAATCACCATATTTCAGCCCAAACATGGATTTAATACCTTGGTTTTGAAGTTCTTTTCCCCCTGGTTTTTTTTTAGAGCATTTTATTTTTGATGGCTCCCATCCCAAAGGGAAACACTGCATGGTACAAGTGCCTGACACAACATTTTATTGTCTAAGCTACAATGAAATCTTCAATTAAGAGCTTCTTGTAGAAGCAAAGACCTTTTCTTTCCATTTAAAAGCAAAACAATAAAAATTCTTAATCATAATAAATAATAATAAAACAACAAAAAGCCAAGGTAGCTTGGCTGCCAAAAATTGAGTCTCCTTCACCCAATCTCTGTAATTCAGTTTCACTGACTTGAAAAATCCTAACTTCCATTCTAGCACTGAAAATGTTTCATCCAGCTGTGGAAAAGAAACAGGAATTAAATCATTGCTGAATGGGAGCTTAAATTATAAATGGAGATCGACATTTCAGAGGAGGGTTTGTTTTTAATAAGGTGTAACTTTCACATAGTCCAATTAATATTCTTGATTTCTGCAGAAAATTGTTCCTCCTCTTTCCCACCAGGCAGAACAGTTTTTCCTAACCAAAGCAGCAGGATCTCTGAGTACTTCTTTCCTTGTAATGAAAATTCCAAATTTCCCACTCACTTCTAAGGTGAATTTCAGCAGGAAAGGGAACAGATGACTCTTAGGAATGGCTCCCTCCTTTGGAGAAGCCCATGCAGGGGTCTCTGGTCAGATCAGGAATCACAGAATCACAGAATCACAGAATCACCAGGTTGGAAGAGACCTTCAAGATCATCAAGTCCAACCCTGACACCTCAACCAAACCATGGCACCGAGTGCCATTTCCAATCCTTTTATAAACACATCCAGGGATGGTGACTCCACCAGCTCCCCAGAAGACAATTCCAGTACTTTATCACCCTTTCTGTAATAAACTTTCTCCTGACATCCAACCTCTATTTCCCTCGGTGCAGCTTGAGACCGTGGTGTCCTCTCGTTCTGTCACTTGATGCCTGGAGAGCTCAGGGAATCAGAGAATCATGAAATCATTTCAGCTGGAAAAGAACTTTCAGATCATGGAGCCCAGCCATCAACCAGCACCACCCCCATGTTCAGCACTGAGCGTTGTCCTCAGGTGCCACATCCACGGTTTTTGGATGTTTCCAGGCATGGTGATGGCAGCACCTCCCTGGGCAGCCCCTGCCAAGGCCTGAGCTCCCTTTCCATGGGCAAATTCCTGCTGCTGTCCACCCTGAGCCTCCCCTGGCCCAGCCTGAGGCCTGAGCTCTCCTCCTGTCCCTGTTCCCTGGCAGCAGAGCCCGACCCCCCCGGCTGTCCCCTCCTGCCAGGGACTTGTGCAGAGGACACTCTGGAATGTGAACTGAGCTTGGAGCAGCACCTCTTTTTGTGCCTCTGGACAAAGCACAGTCTTTTTTTGCCCTGTAGGGTGAGGTTCAGCAGAGCTGGGAAGAGAAGGTAACGAAGAAATGAATCCCAGTTATCCCAGTTCCTCTATCCCAACATCCTTCAGGAGTTTTATTGGTATTTCTGTGTTACCCACCAGCCCAGCTCTCAGATCAGGGTAACTAAAAGGTGACTCCCACCTTTAGGGGAACCTTTGGATTATGGGATCAGGGTGGGGTCCAGCAGAGGGAGGCTTTGGTGACAATTCCCATTACCCTGGGCACGATCTGAGCAGTGGCACGTGACAGCCAGGGCACAGAGGATGGCACAGTGCCCCACACCACCTGAGACCCACAGCAGGTGAGTTGGTGAAACACAGGCAGAAAGGCAGTGTCTGATAAAGAAATTATTATTAAAATCTTCACTGACAGACTGAACCCTTCTTATCCTGCACATGCACAGGAGGAAAGGGCATCAGTTTATGCTCCCTAAGACTGAGCTCCACCTCATGTGATGTCAAACCTCATTCTGTCCTGGCATGAGACTTCTTACAGACAGAAAAAAAGAACAAATTAAAGGTCTGGGGAAGCAGTGGGTCCTGATTACAGCACCTGTTCCTTCTCTGTTGTTGCAGGGATGACCTGCCAGGCTCGCAGCTCCTACATCACGAGTGAGATCCTCTGGGGCTACCGCTTCACCCCCGTCCTCACGCTGGAGGACGGCTTTTATGAGGTTGACTACAACAGCTTTCATGAAACCTACGAGACCAACACCCCCGTTTACAGTGCCAAAGAGCTGGCAGAGATGGCCAGCCGAGCAGAACTGCCCCTGACCTGGTCTGTTTCCAGCAAGCTGGACCAACACGCCGAGCTGGAAACGGAGGAGGAGGAAAAGAACCAAGAAGACCAAAACGAAAGAAACGGAGACGTGGCCAACCTGGAGAATGAGTCCAAAGTGTAGAACCAGGGGAGAAATAAAGGCCACTCCACCTCCTTTATCTCCTTCCTCTCTGCTCCCTGTTTCTTTCTGCGACACGCCTTTAATATTTTTCTTTTCCTGTTACTGGTAAATCACGGAAAATAAACTTTAGACGCAGAATTCCAATTTCGACCCAAGAGATTCCCAGACTAAGCAAAGGCGTGAGTTAAAGCTGCAACACCCATCAGGGAGGGTGGAATCTCCCCCTGGCAGTGACTGATGGCACCTCTCCAGTGCAGACCTCCAGGTTTATCCACATCAACAACACAAAAACCAATCCCTGAACGCGAAGGAAATGTATGCAAGGGATTTAAAAGGAGAGACTAATTAATGTTCATCAAAGCCAAGGGGCCAAGTCCTCCTTGGACTGAGGATTTTATGTATTTCAGGACACTTTCACAGACTGGGTGACAGTGGAATGGGCCTTGCAGCTTTAAAAGGAAGGTGAGCAGAGGGACCTGCAATCCCACACGACCCTGTACATATGCCTTATGTAACTATTTCTCTCTACATTTAGTAATAAACGCCGCATGTACAAAAGTACTGTAGTAAAGAACTTCTAAATAATGTACACAGCTGTGTAATTAATGTAGGTTTAGAAACAGAGCTCTAGAAATATTGGGATGCAAAAACTAACTACCCGTCGAGTAGGCATTTCTCTTCAAACATTTGCAGTGTAAAATTGATTTTAGTTTATTTATTTATTTATTTTTTCTCCTCCCAGCTATGACTCTTCTAGTGCATAACATTTTCTTCAGTGTACCAGACTGGCAGCTATTTAGAGTACCTCACTGTTGGCCAAACAGATCGTTTCACTCACTCTAAAAAGCCATAAGTCTGGGAGAGGGCAGGGTAGAGAATTGTACTCCTGACATACTGTGAAAATGTTTACAAATAAGGCAAAACCCTTCCTGGTTACTCTTTTTTTGGGGGGCAGCTCGAGCGAAAAATTGAGGCTGTGGCAAACTCGTGGCTAACCAGAATTTCCTGTGCACTCTTCATATAACGGGCATGTGTCATGTGGAGGTGTCATCCTTACTGTGCAATATCCAGGGAATCTGCTCCCTCCTCCCCTGCCCAACCGCGGGATTTCAGCGGAATCCCACGCACAAAAAGAAAACCACACACACACACAAGCCATTGTTGCACCTCAGCCAGTAGATTTTAGCTACTTCAGCTGGGAAGGAAACAGCTGGATTTTGTGTGGAGCCGGAATCCATGAAATTCGCAATTTGCTGGTGCTGAGGCGTGGGGGGCACAACATCCCTGGGGGTGTCCTTCCAGCGGGATTCCCAGGAAAACACACGGATTCTGCCGCCCACGCTCAGGGGAGCGGTTCCTCAGTGAGTTTCTCCACCTTAGGTAGCTCCCTGCTTGTTGTAAATCCCTGGAAAACCCTGGACGTTCCATCCACGGGGCAGAGAGAACTCGCATCGCTTCCACGGCAGCGCCCACGGCAGTGGGGGAGCTCAGCCCCACCAAGAACAGCATTTCTGCCAGCAAAGCAGGACAAGCTGCAGCCTTAATTTTGTTTTTTTTATTATTCATGCCTGCCTACTCCGGGAAAAAATAAAACACTGAAGAGAACCCGAAGCATTTTTTTTAATTTTCTTTTTTTCCTTTTTTTTCTTTCTTTTTTTTTTTTGTACAGAAAAATTTACCTTTAAATAAAAGAGAGAAAAAAAAAAAATTAAACCTCAGGAGAAACTTGGTGGGCAGGTGGAAAATTTGCACTGTGATATAGCTTTGGCATTAAATTCACACCTCTTTTGCTTTTTATTTATTTTTTTTTTTTTTTTTGCTGGTACAACTGCCCCTTGCTGATTTTCAGAGGGTGGCTGGCCTGGGGGTGCTCCAGGTGAGGAGGGCACAGCAGGGCCTGGGGAAGGGCAGGGTCACACACACCAGGGCAGATCAGGTTGGATGGGAAAAGGGGTTTTTTTTTTTGGTTTCTGACCATTTTCCCCTAAAAGGCTTTCCCAGGAATGGTGCAGGATGAGGATTTTGGTCTCTCCACCCATGGGGGGATGATTCTGGCAGCTCAGTGAGGGTTGGAGACACTTCTGGGAGACAGCACTTGGCCACAGCCCTTCCCAAGCTCATCCTCCTGCCCCAGCATCAGCGGCTGCCCCGTGCTCCAGCCCATCCATCACCACCCCCACGGCTCCCCACGAAGGGTGCTGAAGGTTTTTAGGGAAAAGTGGCTCCACAGCCCCTCTGGAAGTGTTGGGACCGGGGACAGCACAACCCCGGTGCCGCGGAGCCACCCACGCGTGTCCATCCCGCCAAAGGTGCATGAGCTGAAAGCAAAGCTTTCCCTCCGAGGATAAACCTGCTTTTCGCTCGCAGGATTCACTGGGCCTCTCCAGAAGTCGTTGCTGCAGGTTGAGGAAATTTGTGTTGGTTGCAAGAGCAGCTCAGGGCCCTGATGAAACCTTTTTTTTAATGTCCTTCAGCACGGAAAACGAGAATTTCCGCCACTGGGGCATGCGCATGTGTAAGCTTTATTTTTGTGAATAGGGCACTTACAGCTTAAGGTGTGTGTGTGTGTTTTGTCTCTTTCTCTCTCTCCCCCTGTATTTTCTTGTCTTTGGTATCCATGTAGTACGGACTGTAAAGTTTATGAAATCTCATTTTTGTAACATAAGCTTTAAAAAAAAAAAATATAGAAGCCTCCAAAGCTTTCAACGGGGAAGCTTCACGTAAACTTTGTACTAGAATGTCCCTATCAAACACCTCTATTTTTCTACAATGATTGATTAAGCAGTTTAACAATGTATTTTGTGTCAATGATTTCAACTGAATTGGTACGGAGACAATTAAGAATTGAATGCTGTTAATTAACAATGGATTTTCAAGCCGTATATCCTGAGTGGTGTTTTCATTGACAGCACATCATTTAACCCAGGAACTTCAGCTCTTAATCCTGAACAACATTCGAGGAAAGCTCAATTCCCTGTGGGAATATTTGTGGCAAATGGCATTTAAGGGATGTGAAAAACGTAACATCTTAATGTAATTGGCTACAGAATTAATCCAGACCTGTTACACCGCTATTTCATTCGCTAATATATTTTGATGGCTTTTTCTTGCAATATCTTGTGATTTCTAGGAGGAAAAGGAATTCCAGAGGTAAATGTGAGCTCTCAATAATCTCCTGGAGCTCTCAATTCCTTCTTCACTGACCAGAAATGCTGCTGAGTGAGAATGTGGCCTTCAGCAAATACTCTAAGCTCAGCTTTATCGTTGCCCATCAAATATCACCTTGTCAGGATTAAAATAAATCACCAAATTGACTTTAAAAGTATCACCCAAAAATGCAGATATCCTGGTAGGTGTCTGTAGCTGTTCTGATCTGCATCTTTGCCCTACAACACCAAAGTCGTGGGAGCCATCCCAGCAAACTCAGCAGCTCCCAGACCCAGGAGGGACAAGGTGCTGGAAAATCCAAGAGCATCAACAGATGGTTTGAAGTTCACATCAAGTTTTTTGGTTTCAAGTCTGGGCTGCTCATGTTCCTCTGTTGGAGTTAAAGAAGTCACTCAGGCCTTCCCAAACCAGGGAAGAATGAGATTCCTGAAATCCCTGTTCTGTTTCCAGGCACAGGGCACCATCCTGGGCTATTTAGGAGGGGGAAGGCCTGGAACCAGGGCTCTCTTCAGCCCAGGGATGTCCAAAGCCACATCCCACCTCTCCCAAAAAACAAACCCTGCCACAAGAGCACCGACAGCTCCGGCCCCTCTGCCAAGGCCTGACTTGCTCTGGAATTCTCCCAAGAGCCCAACTTTCACCTTTGAGTGTGGAAGGATCCCTGGCCCTGACAGAGGGGATGGAATCGGGCGATCTTTAAGGTGTATTCAACCCCAAACCATTCTAGGTTGCTACAATTCTATAATTCTAGGATTCTGTGAAATCATTGGGGTTTTTTCATGGGAGAATAGAAAATCCCTCATTCCCTGGGCCCAGTCTATCCATCAAGGTATTTCCTGGCTAAATTCCAGCCCTCAGGCTGAGGCAGGAATAATTCCAAGGTTTTTCACCTCCCCACCTGGAGTTGTTTTATCTTTGCTGTCCAGCAGAGCACAGCTCTGGGAGGATGCACTGTGTTATTCCCAGAAAACCTGGGATATCCGTCCCTCCTGCTTTTTGTAGATTTGAAGTGGTGAATTAATGCCACTTCCCCCAGTTCTTTGATGTGGGTGTGAATGAGAGGCTCGATGAAATTTGTCTCCCGTGCTCTGGGCACCTCGGACGTGCCTTAGCAGCCACCACCAGAGCTTCTGGCTGCCAAACATGAAATTTTTACTCTTGTGGTGCTCCTTGCCCATCAATATCTTTCTTTTCAGAATATCCGCCTCCTTAACACCAGGTTACCTCACTCAGGCACTTTTTAGGCCATAAATCAAACCTAAAACACGAGGAGTTGGCTTCTCTTCCACTCTTGTTCCCTCAGCTCCCAAACACCTCTTTGGAAACAAGCACGTGGAGAGCAGGCACAAATCTGGGCTTTGAGCTGAAAATAATTCTTAAAGACAAGATCTGAAAGCTGTTATTTGTTCATCATTTCCTGAGTGGATTTTAGATTTCTAGGGTTTGGCATTTTGGAGGGGAGAGGCGGTGTCAGACATTCCCGATTCATTTTGTAGGTTTAGCTCCAGCTTCTTCCTCCTGATTTATTCTCACAGTTTTATCAGATCCTCTGGATTTCCAGAAATTAAATGGCAACTCCAGCACAAAGGTGCAGTTGTTTTACCACTTCCACGGCCCCATTTGTTGCCTGTTGATGCTCCAAGAGTCTCCCATGGCGAGCCCACAGACATCACATCCAGAAACAGAGTTCCGGAGGGACTCGGATCTTCCTATTTCACCTCAAGTGTGAAATCTGGTTTCTATTCCAAGCAAATTCACAACTACAAACCACAGCTCATCCCTCCTTCTCCCCAGCTCACGTGTCATCCACACAGAGTAAGAACTCCAGAGTTTCTGATAACATCAGCTGCTTTTTAGGGCTTTTTTTTCCAGAGGGAAGGAATGGGGAGAGCTCTCCCTCCTGTTTTTCCTTTTTTTCTTTTTTTAAATCAAAGGCAGCAGCTCCAAACTCACAGCCAAAGCAATCACAGGCAATCATTTGCACTGACTTTCCTGGAGAATTTCAACTGTGAGAACTGCTGGAGAGCTGTCATCCCACCAAATTTTCCTCCACGTGTTGGGTTGGAGTCCTCTGGACTCCTTCCAGGAACGCTCCTGGCCCACCAGGATGAGTCCTCACAGTCACTTTCCCTGGCCACTTCCCCATCATCATGTCCCAAATCCCTCACTGCAGCATCACATCCCCACAACTGCTCTTTAATCTTCCCAAATCTTCCCAAAATGTAACTCTGATCAAATTTAAAATGGCATTTTTAAAAAGAAGATGATGATATCACAATGAGAAGTCTCTAACATGAGAATGCCAGTGAGATTTGGGCTGGGGAACCCGAACTGTCACACTTTGGAGTCATTCCAAGGAATCTTGCTCAGATGGTGGTGGAAGTTACTTCCTT